CAAGCTGTTTGGGTGCCTAAATAAGGGGCTAGGGCATAGGTTGAAAAACTACTGCCACTGTTCATCTGTATAACACTTGACAAATTACAAAGATCTTTGCCTTTTGCCCTTTATTTAGTCTTCATGACTATCCTACAATGTAGGTATTCTTATTATCTTCATCTTAGAGTTGAGATAGAATAGATGAGGTTCAGAAAAGCAGAGAGGTTAAGAGTGATTTCCTCCACAGACCCCACCCCCCCAACCAGGAAACACATCCTAAGTGCTAACTGAAAAGCTTCCAAGATGTCACTGAATTTCCACTCACATCTTGAGTTTACAAGGCCACCAAGCTGTGGAAGCTTGACATCAACATTCAAATAGATGAAAAGGGACCTTGAGAGAGCCACCAAGATGATAAAGGACTGAGAAGCAGGATGTTCTTGTTTGGTGTTTGGGCCCCTTGATAACTTAGCTGTACCATCCACCCAAATTTAACTGCCTTCTGGATAGGGAGGGTCTTTTCCTCACATCCTCACACAGCGGGCTGCCTACCATTTCGACTCTGCATTTGCCCGTAGTTACACCACAAGGAATGTTTTTCCTTCTTTCCCCCATCTACAGCCTACATAGACTTCAGGGCCCAGATTCTAAAATATGTCTTCCAAATTTATTGCTTCTTCCTTTCAGAATTCCTAGAGCATGTGATGTAGCCCCTAGTTAGATAGTCAGAATGTGGTATAGTTTTCTGCTATTCTGCCTGTTGTAGCACTGTCACCACTTTGTCATGTCTCCCCAGCTTAACTGTAAGCTATTTGAGGGGCAGGGGTATATGTATTTGTTTTCCCCACAGGGTCCAGATGTTTGGCATATTGTAGATGTTTAGTACTTGAGGGGAACAAAATGTCTTTAAGCATTTGTGGATGAAAGATTAAAATGTCCAGGAAAAATTTACTTAGATTAATGTAGATTGAAACTATGTTAGATAAGTAAAAAGGTGTGTGTGTGTGGCCTTCCTGGGTGTGAGGCTTTAACCCAGAGGACTTCCACTCAGGACTCTGGCAGCCTTTCAGAAGAGGAGAGCTGCTGCTCCAGTCTCTCTCTAGAGAGGGTTAGATGCAGCAGGACCTAAAGGCCAACCCAGCTGCTGGCAGAGGCCCAAAGAGGAGGATACCTTCCCAGATATAGGATTGCTCTTTCATCTGGCCCTCAGGGAGAGCACACAGTCTGTGCTCTGGGCCAGTGAGGGGCATTGTGGGCAAAGGGGAGTGAGGGTAGCAAGGGCTGGGCAAGGGCTGGGCAGGGGCTGGTAAGGGCTGATTAAATTTGTGAATCCTATCCCAAGGTAAAACTTCAGTCGTCAAGAGAGAGTAAGGACAGAGGGGACCTTACCTCAGGCCCCGGGGCCCTTTGCTGACCTCTCCCTCCAGCTCAGATCAACAGCTCCACTTTGCCTTGATTAGAGGGAGGGAGAAAGATGACCTGGCTCTCAGAGAAGACCGCACCTCTTCCAAGTCTGGCGGGAGCCTGGCTTCAGTTTCCCTCTGTTCTGAGTTCTTGCCTGTAGGCGTCTGGAGGGAACACACAGATGGGTCGTACTGATGGGACTGGCTGAGCTGGGGGAAGGGAGGTTTGTGGTGTGTGGCTCCCCTCATAGGGGAGGTCCTGCCGTCGTCATCTTCATTATATACATACTTTAAGCTTCTGCCAAGTGAAAGGCACTGGGCCTTTCTTGTTCCTCATCCTCTCTCTGTGGCCACATTTAACCATTGGTGATACTCTATTTCTATTAAATAGAAACCCTCCCTCCTCCCTGTAGTAGCCACAAAATGCTCCATCCTAGTTCTTCCACTACATCTTTGGTGGCTGCTTCTCCATCTTCATCTGTCTATCGCCAGGACTTTCCATGGTCCCTCTTCTTTCTTGGGAACCCTGATGTTTTGTTTTAAATTATTTAGTTTTTGAACAGATAATATATAACATAGTTAAAAATTCAAGATATAGAAAAAGGGTATACAATGAAAAGTAAACCTCCCACCCCTGTCTTCTACTCACCTAGTTCCCCTTCCCAGAGGCAACCAGTACCATCAATGGTATGTAATTTGTTGGGTCACAGATACTTTTATGAATCTGATTAAATTCGTGAATCCTATTCTCAGGCAAATGTGTGACTACAAACACATCAAACTGTATATACCATTTCACAAGAATCACAAACCCCTTCTGTGGTCTGGAGCTAAGGATCCCAGCCTGTACTGTACCCTCTCCCTTCGTGTAATTTATGGGTCCCATGCAAAATGAAACTGCAGGGCTCCTTGTTCAAAGAATTTCAAGACAGCCACAGCAGAGCGTTAGACTAAAGCATGGGGCCCTGTGTGACTGCAGGGGCTGGTAAGGGCATACAGATTCACAGGGACTCAAAAGATAGCTCATCCATAAAGCCAGCCCTGCATCTTATCCTTTCCCCTGGCTCTTTCACTACTATCTTCATGGCATTGTTTTCATATCTGTCTCTTACCACAACTTGTTCCCAATTTCAGACTCAGCTGTCCAGGGAGCTGCTGAAACTCTTCTGTATGGATGTTCTTTTAGTGTCTCAAACTTGGTGTCTCCAAAATGGAGCTCACTTACCCATCTCCTCTGCCCTCTAATTCCTGGTTCCTCACCATCCTCCCTCTACCTGCAACTCTTCCATCTCTTTATACCCATCCACTTGGTGGCCAAGGCCCATGATTCCAACCCTCAAGTCCCTGCCTCCTCTCCTTTCCCACTGCCATCCCCTTAGGATAGTTTACCCTCCATATATACTGTTACTGGCCTCTAAACTCAGCTTCTCAGGCCTTGCCTCGGCTCCTCCAACCCATGCACATCTCTCCCAGCTTCCTATTCCCAAAGGACCATCCTAATTATGTCACTTCCACATGCAGAGACCTTCAGTGACTCTCACTGCCTACAGAATTGGGCTCAAACTTCTTTGCCTGGCATTTAAGGTCCTTTGCAGTGGAGCTCCAAACCCTCTTTTTCGTGCTCATCTCTTACCCCTCCTCTTCATGTCTCTGAGGTTTCAACCCAACTGTAGAACCATCTGGTCCCTTAATGGGCCCAATGTGTTTTCCTGCATTTTAAATTTTGAACTGCCTCTGTTCCTGGTTCCCAGAGTTTAGAACTTGCTTACTCCACTATAACCATGTAATTTCTCTGGACCTTTCACCATAGCCACTGCACATGGCCCTGCTCATTGGGTCCCTGTATCTCTTCTGCTGCCCCTCCTCCTCTTCCCCCCATCCTTACTGGAAGTGGAGCCTCAGATGCAAAGCTGGATAAAATCACCATTATCAAGCAGACGTGAGTGGAATCCCAGCACTGTTGCTTACTGGGTGACTTCAGGCAAATTACTTACACTGTGATTCTTCTACTGTAAAATAGTAACAGCTTATGTAGTCTTTAAAGAATTAACAGATAAAGTGTATAAAGCCCTAAAGATAGTGCCATTATTCATATTGTCATAACCACTCGTGCTGGGCTGGTCCCCCTTGAATCCTGCCCAGCTGCAAGGACTCGAGAGACATCTCATTCTGCTTTCCATCAAGTTCTGGAAGAATGTGTGGGGGAGGGTGGAGGCCTGGCCCTCAGGTGCTCAGGTAGCTGTACTGTATGTCTAGGGGTGATGGCAGCTGCTGCCTCTGCTCCCTTTGTTCAGGCTTATGGCTCAGGCAGCAGCAGGCGTGGGCGTCCCCAGAGGAGGCAGTGACAGCTTCAGTATTCACACGGGCTTTGCAGGTGACAGCTGGGGCTATGGGGCCCTGCCAGAGAAGACGCAGAGAGACCCCACCATGCCCCAGCTGATGTGCCTCCCTGGCGGATACAGGCCCCATCTTGAACCAGCCCAAGTCAAAGCTGAGTAGCTCTGGCAGCTAAATGTAGCTTCCAGCCTGTTTCTTGCAGGATAGGCTGGGTAAGATGGGGTGCAGAGTCTGAAGACTTGGTCCCACTGTGTCAGTAAGTTACAGATTACTTCTAGCAGGTTCCTGTTCCTCTCCAGACCTGTTTTCTCATCATCAAATGCACGAAGTGGACCTGATCATCTGTAAGGGCCAGTGGTCCTTTTACATGGACTACCTCAGGACCAAGTCAGTTCCAGAGCCTTAGACATTTAGGTTTCTAGCTCCTCAGGGCCTGAGTTTTCTCGTAACAGCAGTTTCCATCGACAGCCATCCCTTCCCCGGGGCTCAGAGAACAGTCAAAGTGAACAGATGCAGTAGAAAAATTCTTTATTGAAAAGGGAAGAGATGGCCCCTTGCTGGTGCCTCCTGGGCCCTGGCCAAAGGGGGTTGCCACCACTCAGCTCTTCAGGCCGGCATTTGCCAGCATCTGAGCGCAGAAAGTCTGTCCACACCTTACCTTTAATAACCTTAAAGGGGAAGTGCCGTCCTGAAATGGTAAGTCACAGAATCAAATCTCAAGAACAGCGCTTCCAGGCCCTTGCCTTTAAGAACTCCTTAAAGGCAAAGTGGACAAGAGTGGCAGATAAAAGCCAGAACGTTTTATGCAAAGTCTCTGGAAGTGTCTCCACGACTTTACCTTTAAGAATCTCTTAAAGGCGAGGCATATTCACGCAGCGTACAAACGAGGTAAACACCAAGAAGTTCACCAAGCACTTTTCCAATTCTCGCTTTTAGGATCTCTACAGCAGAGGTGGCCAAGCGCGGATTAATAAAAAACAAAATACCTTTTGCAGAACTATTTTTCTCTCTGACCCGCCAGAACCCGCTCCGCCCACCGGTTGCAGCACGCCCGCCCCCAAACTTTGCGTCTTCGCCGCCTGGGCGCCGCGGAGCCCGGAGGTGTCAGAAGGACACCGCCCACCAGCCCGGGCCCGCCCCCGCGGCCACACCGGGGCATCCTGGGAGTTTTTGGTTTCCTAGACGGCCTCGACAGAGGAAGCCGGATGGGGCAGGGCGGGGCGAGGGGGCGAAGGGTGCGGTGACCATGGCGACCGCAGTGGCCATGGCGACCGCGGCTCACAGCACGGAGAGGTCGTGACACGACCTGGAGCGCTGCTTGAAGAACTTGGCGTTGCGCGGCACCAGGTTGGCGAGGAAGCGCTTGGCCTTCTTGGTGAGGCTCTCGCGGCGCGCGGAGGGCGCGGGGCACTCGGGGCTGCCCCGCTCCTGCCGCTGGCCTCCGGCGTGGCTCCGGCCCCGCCGCAGCCGGATCTGGCGCACGGCGCCCTCGAAGAGCTCCCGCGTGTTGTGGTGCAGCGCGGCCGACGTCTCGATGTGCTTGCAGCTCAGCGTCCCGGCCAGGTGGCGGCCCTCTGCAGGAAGGCACCGGCTCAGGCGCCCACTGGGCCGCATTGGGCCCGGGGAGAGGGTGGGCCTGGGGAGTTCCCGGGCGGGCGGTGGAAAGGGACTGGGACTAGTGAATCTCGAAATAGATCAAGGCCGAGATCACAGGGTGGGTCGGTAGAGATGAGAAGGAGAGGGAGAAAGGGGCCTTGAGGAGAGGTGAGGGAGAGTGAAGAGAAGAAGAGATTCTCAGTGTCCTGGGAGTAGGGCAATTGGGGGTTAGCCTGGGGCAAAGTGCAAGTGAGTATGGTATGTGACGATAAAAAGGACTTAGGGAGAAGAGCTGACCTGGAAGGGAGAGCTTTCCCCTGAGATTGCGAGTATGGAATTGGTTCAGAATACACACCCTCCAGTGATACCTCTCGGGAACGGGCCAGGTCACTCTTGTTACCAACGAGGATGACAGGTAGGTCGTGGTGTGGCCTCCCAGCCCGGAGCCGAAGTAGGGTCTCTGGAACTTTGGAGAAGCTTTGCCGGTCAGTGACTGAGAAGACGATGAGAAAGGCGTCTCCGGTCTGAAGGCAGTGGTCTCGCAGCCACCCTCCAGCATCCCCCTGCAGATAGGCAGAGAGAGTCGTGGAATGTTAGGGCTGGAGGCATAGGAGGGGTGCCTCCCCACACCCAGGAGGGGTAGAGGGGGTAAGAAGCTGAAGCTGCTGCCCAGCTTCTGAGGAGTAGTTACGGACTGGTAGATCCTGTCCAGCATCTACACCACAAAGATGAGGGCTCTGAGGGAGAAGGAAGGCACTTGCTTAGGATAGCAGAGTTAGTTAATGGTAGAATCTCCATATCTTTTTTTTTTTTTTTTTTTGAGACAGAATCTTACTCTTTTGCCCAGGCTAGAGTGCAGTGGTGTGATTAAGGCTCACTCGAACTCCTGGACTTTAAGCTATCCTCCTGCATTAGCCTCCCAAATAGCTGGGACTACAGGTGCACCACCAAGCCCAGCTAATTTTTTTTTCTTTTTTGTAGAGGCGGGGATCCTGCTATGTTGTCCAGGCTGGTCTGGAACTGCTGGCCTCAAAGCAATCCTCCCACCTCAGCCTCCCAAAGTGCTGGGATTACAGGTGTGAGCCACTGCGCCCAGCCCAGAATCTCCATACCCAGCACGTGTTTGTGGAGGAGGGAGAAGTTAGTAATGTGAGCCCCACCTGGGGGGACTGGGGACATAGGCTCCTAGACTAAGGTAGCCATCCTACTTTTTTATGCTTAAGCTCTTGATTAAAAAATTAATGCTATAAAAGTATATGTAATTTGGCCACTTGGTTCTACATAGTAACTTTTATGTCCAAATATTAAGAAGTCTTCAGTTTTTTCCCCCCACTTCCCTGATATTCCAGAGCCCTGAGTTCTTGGTCCTGTCACATCAGACTCTTCTAGGCTGAAAAATTTATGGACGGGGTCAATTTCAGGGTGTCCAGCCTGGCTTGCAGCTGCAGGATTTGTCAAATTCAGATCCTAAGTTTCCTCGGGGTCAGAAGATCTTGGAAAGACTGTGGCTCTTATGGCCACAGGCCGTGGTACCCACATTGCTGTGGGCCCTTGCTCTCTGCGATGATACAAATGAAAGAACATGTTCTAATACATTTTCAAATCAGGGCCTGTAGTTCCACCAGCCTTCAACCAGACTTTGCCCTTCCCCAGTTCTCTCAGCTTCATCACTTGCTTGCAGTCACATCTTAATTCTCACCTGTTCCCAGATGTCATAAACAACTAGAGTCGCTTCCTCCTTATCCACCATGATGCGTCTCTCATAGGTGTCCTCTGTTGGGAAATAAAGCCCATTAGGAGGTTCCCCAACACTTGTGAGACCTGGTAACCAGTGACAACTCAAATCTCAGCCCCAGAGAACCCTCATCCCCCTCCAGAGAGGCTTTAACAGAAAGCATTGGAGAAGCTTCTCTTAGCTTCTGTCCTTCAGGGGCTGCCCTTTTTTTTGAGACAGCCTCTGTTGCTCTGGGTAGAGTGCAGTGGCGTCATCATAACTCACTGCAACCTCCAACTCCTGGGCTCATGTGATCCTTCTGCCCCAGCCTCCCAAGGAGCTGGGACTACAGGTGCACACCACACACCCGGCTAATTTTTCTATTTTTTGTAGAGACAGGCTCTTGCCCTTGCTCAGGCTGGTCTTAAACTCCTGAGCTCAAGCATTCCTCCCTCCTCGGCCTCTCAGAGTGCTAGGATTACAGGCGTGAGCCACCACACTGGCAGGGGCTACTCTTGTCATCATCGCTTCCATTCCATGACTAGGACCCAGAGCCCTCTTGACCCACACAGAGCTCCCTCAAATACCTGGGTTCTCTGGCTCATGAGCACTGTCTCCCTGGAGACCGCCGAAAGTGCCTGCCAGGGTGCTCTTGCCCACGCCGCTCTCCCCAACCAGCATGACCTTGAAGATGCCATCCTTTTGGGCAGGGGCTTCCTCCCCTGAGCCCAAGGAGTCAGAGGAGCCAGAGGATGAAGCCTGAGGCGGCCAGTCAAGTTCATCTACAGCCTGGGCCCGCCGGAGCTGGTGCTTGTAGGGGACAGGCATACTGCCTCGTCGTCTAGGGGCCCCCAGGGCAGGGGGTGGCCCACCCCGATCGAACCCTGCCAACAGTTTCTCTGGTTTCTTCAGCAGTGTGGCATCTGCTTCTGGGAAGGAGGGGGAGCAAAGAAAAGGAGGCTATGAGTAGGGTATGTCCAGCCATCTGCAGAGGGCTCAATCCAGGCTGCTCTGGCTTCAGAGGCCCAGCCACACCCAATCTATGACTAGGACCCTAAAGGAACTGAGACTCTTCTTTGGCATGACCTCTTACACTAAACTCCCCAGAAGCCTGAACTGGTGAGCCTCTGTGGAGCTGACATGATGGCTTTCCCAGTGTGGTCCCAGCCACAGCCGGTTTCAAAACACACCCCATGCAGGGGAGGCACCTGTACACAGGCTCACACACCCACTCACGGTTTACACTGACACATAGGCACACCCCCAGACTAGGCCTCTGGCCCTGTGGGGTGGGGGGAGGCTGCCCCTCCCTCCACCAAGAGGCCCTGCCTCCTATAGCTTCCTGCACTGGTATTCCCCACACCGAGGAAGGGCAGAGGGGATAAGAACTGAAGCTGCTGCCCAGCTTCTGAGGAGTAGGTAGGTGCTGGCAGAGTCAGAAACTTTGTGGGGAGCCTGTTCCTAGCAAAGGGATAAGGCTCTTGCTCTCTGGGATGATTGTGTTTGGTCTCCGTGGTGGTGGGCTGGGTGTGTGTGAGAGGGGCTGCTGCTTCCTGGGGCCCTGTAGGTGAGCATCCCCCAGTGCATGGTTGTGTGAGAATCCTGCATCCCTGGCAGTCCCCGTGAGTGGGAGAGAATATTGTGTTCTCCGAGAGGTAGAGGGAGAGTGTGCCTGAGTGAGCTGAGCGAAAGGGAGAGTGACAATGCACGGGTCAGGGTAACTGGAGGAGGAACAACAGACAAAACAAAGGGGGATGGAGAGAGGCTGGAAATAGCCCAGGATCAATACTTGGCTGGCAGCCAGGGCCTCCCGGAGCCAGAAGAAGCCCTTACAACAGGTCCCGAGGGTAGCCCCCTGCCCGTGATTCCCAGGTTTGTAGGCTGCCCCTTTCCTTCTCCCCTTCCCTCCGGCCTGTCCCAGCCTCTTGGGAATGAGGCTGATCTAGGGGCCGTGTACACTTTCTCAAGCAAACCCCTGGGAGTGATGGGGGAGGCGGCACTTAGGCAGCTCTTCCCCCCTCCACCCTAACCCAGCCCCAGTCCTTATGTGAGGAGGGGTCTTCTCCACTTCCTGACTTGCTCTTCCCCTCTTGCCGATTGGGTTCAAGCTCTTTCAACCCCTAGTTCCGACCTCCCATCAAAGCTTCGGCTCCCACCCCCATGGTTTTCAGCCTGAACCTGCCCAGGTTAGCCCTCACCTGGTGTGGGTGTCCCTGGGGGAGAGGCCTGGTGGCTGCCAGAGGGGCAGAGTGCTGTGGTTTCTGTGTCCGTGTCCATGTCAGTGGCGGGGTCCGTGTGCATCGGTGTGCGTGTGCGTGTGCAGCCCGGCGGCTCACAGCACCCGCTCCCTCACTCAGCAGCACTGTCAGCTTTTTCCTTTAAATACCACCCCCCCACACACAAATGCCCTCCTCCCAGACACCTGGGGAAATTGTCCCACCCCCTGATGAGGTCACACATGCTAATGAGCAGTGATGTCAGCGGGATTCCCTCCTTTCTGCCCCCCCTTTCCTTTGTGTCGCTTCCCTCTGGGAGCACACACACTGCAGAGCCTGGTTAAGGCATGATGGAACAAAGTCGGAGGGCCAGGACTGACAGGGGTTGGGGGGTGTCAGTGGGTAAGGGAGCTGAGGGTAGCAGGAGGCAAGGACCTAGGGGAGCTGAAGTCTTTCTCCAGGAGCCAGGACTCTGCATTATTTGTGTCTGTATTTCTAGCCACCTAGTCCAGTGTCCAGCCCAGAGGGTGTGCTCAGTGGCTAAAAAGGCGGGTGAGGTAGAGAGACTAAAAGCTGATCTGAAAGACAAAGAGAAATAGGCCAGAAGAGATGCGGGGACAGAGGGACGGCCACCCTGCCACCATCTCCACCCTGCCGCTTCTGGGCTAAAAGCCACCAAAGTGCCCATTTCCCAGCCCCTAGGCAGTTGGGGCTCACGGCTGCTTTGTGTGGGCAGCTTCATTTCACCACTAGGTTGAGGTAGGTGCAAACCATCTTGGGGACTCTTTCACCTTCTCTCTGTCCCTCCAGGCCCCCCAGCCAGTGTTAATTAGAGCAGGAAAAAGGGAGAGACAAGGCTAGCCATCTCAACAAAGTTCCCAATCTTAAGTGAGGGGTGGGGAGTGCCAGCCACCTCCCTCCCCATCTCTCACCAGTGCTCTCTGGGGCAGCTGCCAGGCCTTCTGGGCTACCCAAGGCACATGCACAATGGATGATGTCTGCCTCTTTGTAGGAAGCCCAGATGGAGCATCTCCTTTATTGTTCCTTTTCTGTCCAGTTCCCTTTCTCCTCACGTTCCCCGCTCCTGTACCCCTCCTTCCCGACACCCTCAAGCATCCAAACACATTCTGATTTCCTTTCTTTGCCCCATTTTTGCCAGGTGCTGTGCTAAGCACTGTCCTGTATGATCTCCTTTCATCTTCATGACCCTACGGCTCTCAGTGGTGGTGGTGGGGGGCCTGTCCCCAAAGCAGTCATGCAGCTGGAAAATGGGAACACCAGGAATGTCACCCATATCTTTTCAGTGCCAAAGATTGCTTTTCATTTCTCACTATGCTGATTTCCTTCTCTGAAATGCTCCAACTGTCTCCTATTATTGGGAACAGTTTATAGTGCAATCCTCAGTGGACTTTTCCAATGGAAGAGGCAAATAGTAATCTTGGGAATACTGTGCAGTGACACTTCACATATCTGGAGGTGAACTACAGGGCAACAGTGCAGGGTCTGGAGGGAACAGAAAGGACCCCTTAGCAGCTAACACACTCATGTGCTTTAATCATTGGATAGACTCTCCAGTCCTCAACCGTGGCCTAATTACCCTTACTTTTCACCATGTTACTGTGTTCATGTGTGTTCCTGTACTGTAGATTAGAAGCACATTTAGAGCAGCAAGTGATCTAACAGCCTGGTAGCAAGGGAGGCAACACCAAAAAACAAATAAACAAACAAACGGTAAAGCAGTCTTAAATATTTTAAACGGGGGTGGGGTGGGGGTGGGGTCTAAGGTTATTTAGCGTAAAAGCAAAGAGCTCCCCTGCCCCCACTGTTACAGCTTCTGAAGACACTGCTGCAGAGAAGCCATTGGTTTCTATGAATGATCCTCAGCTATTCAGAAAATTTTGTATTGTAGATATGCTGAAGATAAGTGTAATGTTTTAGAATGATTTCCTTCCAAAATGAGGGCCTTTTTTTTTTTTTTTAAGTTTTAAACTGTAAATGAGTGAACTTTATGTATCTGGAAAACTCACTTAGGTGGTTGGATTCTTCTACAATACCAGATAAGAGTGAGGGGCTGCAGACCCCAGCAACAATTCTCTGTTGTGACTTGTGACTTCTGCCTGCTCTCAATCCAGCCTTGGGCCACATGAACAGGCTGTTTCACCTTGAACAACCTCCCCCTCATCCCACGAGGAAGAGGAGGCTGGAAATGGTCTTCTGCTGGACATGTCTGGAACGTGTCCAGGCTCCCACAGGAAGGGGAGGTCCTGTGGAATAATGGGACAAGGGAAAGATTTGGAACCAAACCAAGCCAGGTCTAAATCTGCCACTCAGTGGAGACTGGGCCAGTCCCATAATTTCTCTGAAGCTGCTCCTGAACCTGTGCAATGGGGTTTACAATGCGAGTGGCATGGCTTTGTTGTGGGTTAACTACAGGTGATAAAGGTCTGGCACTCAGCAGGTGCCTAACTCTTCAGCCACCTTCAGGCTCCCACAGCCTCAGGCCGTGTGGCTGGGAGGGCCTCTCCCCTCCCAGCAGGGCTTGGAGCTTGGTTCAGGCCCAGAATTTGGCTCCCTTAGGACTGAATTCTGGTATCTTCCGTTATCTCAGACTCTGGATTAACAACAGCCTGGTCCCCATCTCATGCTGAGAACACCTCCCTCATCCCCACTAAGAGCCTTGATGTAGGTCCCACACCCCAAGACTGGGCACCTTGGATAGTGCTGTCTATCTTGACAGAATTGTAAGTTATCTCATTTCTTTTTCCTTGGGCCCTGCTGAAAATAAGCTTGAGTGATTGCTCCCTAGCTCCCTCACTTAGGCAGGACCCCCTTAGTTCCCCCTACTGCCTGTACCTCTCTCTGAAGTTTCTCTTCCTGCCGACCTGGGGCTTCACTGTGGCTGACAAATTCGTATTACTGTTTGCACCTCATAGAGCACACACCCAGCACCTACAGAAACTTCTTTCAGGCCCACTGATCTATAGGCACAGGCCTCCTTCCAGCTTCCTGAAGCATTCCACCATTAGGAACATTCTTTTACCTTAAATCTTTGTCCACTTTCAGGCTGAAAATACCCCACAGGAGGGAATAAGTCTGGAACAGGACAAGGGATGAAGGTATCAGGCTTAGGGTCTTTGAGGTGACTACGGGGGAAGAAACAAGCAAGGGGGGAGGGGGGAAGCCAACACTCCTTGCTTTACTGTTTTCACTGGGCCTGACACCGGGTGCACCCAGGGACCCTTTGCACTTGGGAAGGAGGGCCCAAAGGGAGAACAGTATGCAAGGTTCTCTGAAGCACCTTCCCCAATCTCTGGAAAGGGTCTGTGGTGAAAGGAGCCCAGGTCTTCCCTAAGCCAAGATGCCAGGGTCCCAGGACCGCACATGGGTAAACACCCCTTCTCTGCTCCTCCCCCAAGCTCCTGTCAGCAGGGGAGAGGAAAGCCGTGCAACAGTGCTAAGTTTGAGGATGTGGACAGAGTGTAATGAACCCTCCACCAGAGCTGCGGGGATAGGCTGGGCCAGGCAGGAAGGAGCCTGAGGGGACGTCTGCTTCCCTGGGGCCTGGCTCTGCTAGGGATGCCTCAGCTTTGCTCCCCAGGCATCACTCCCACCCCCACAGGCTCCTTCTGTAGCCTTTGCCCCTATTTTCCTTTCAAACTCTGGGGCAGCTTCTGTCACCTTGCTCACCAGAGAGTGGCTGAGTTCTAACATTTCTCCCAGATCTTTCCCTCCTCCATCACCCTTCCCAGCTCTTCGGCTCTGGCCACTGCCTGTGTTCCCACCACCTCTTCTCAGGAGGTCCAAGGTCCAGCCTACAGCCCTAGACCTCATGTCTCCACAGTTTGCTTGTCCTGTGGACTCTCACCCTGCCTAGAATTCACAGCTCTATCCCAACTGCTGACAGCATTCCTTCCAGTTTGGGCCCTCTTCCAGGAAGACCTCTTGGATCTGGCCACAGTGGTGTCAGGACCGTCACACCCTGAGTGTTTGTGATTGCTCCCTCCACTCATCTTTGCCTGCTCTGCGGCATCCCGGCTGAGAGTCCATCTGTCTTGCATGAGACAGACTGTTAAGTGCCTGGTGGGGTGCGGGGTGGAGGGTGGAGGGCAGGGAGTCACAGCTCCTGTGTTCCACCAGGGACAGTCTGTTCCTGTGATCTGTGCTCTATAAATGGGAACCTTCCCTGCTGCAGGGCCCAGTTGGCTTCCCTGCCCTCCAGCCTGGCAGTGAGTAAAGGGGCTTTGTGTTCCCCCTCATGTCAGCCACTGCAGAGCCGGGCCCAGGTAGTGAGTGCAGGTGGAGAGGGTTGGTCCGTAGGGTTCCCAGAATTTCCTTACCTTCTGAGTGGTACAAGAATCAACAGTGGGGTGGTGGGAAGATGAATCGGAAGAGGGCAGGATGTGGAGGGCTGAGCAAAGACCTCCACCGGGAGGAGCAAGATGAGGCGAGCATAAGCTGAGGAGGGTGAAGAAGCACGGCTCAGGCTCACAGCTAACTCACAAAATTTTAAAATTTATGATTCCTTTATTTTTGACCTCTACTTCCTGGGCAATGGCCTAGCTATGGGACAAAAAGCATTTGTTTCGCTCTTTTGTGAGCCAGGTCCTGTCGGAGGGATTGTGGTTGGCAAAACCTCAGGTCCTGCCCAAATCCTCCCCAAGGGCTGGAGGGTCTCTAGCCAATGGGCATTCTGGTGCTTAAGGCCACTTTTGGGTGGGGGTTTGGCAAGGATGGAGTGTCTAGGCCTGTGATCCTTTAAGAACTTTACTTTTTAAAAACCACCACTCAAATGGTGGTGGTATGGGCAGAGGGCGGTAGTGGAGGGTCTGTGGTCTCTGCCATGCACAGAGGGGACTCTGTGTTAGCCCGCTCCCTGCCTGAGCGACACCTACCTTTACAGCAGCTACACAGGGTCAATGGGAGGCCTGCCAAGTCTCCTCAGACAAGGGACAGGGAAGGAAGTGGTGGAGAAGCTGAGCTACCCTCTAGTGGGCTGTGACTAGAGCCCCCAGGGGAACCAGGTCCCCTCAGGCAAGCAGGGGCTCATCCTCTGCCTCGACTACCCAGACCCCTGGCTCAGCCAAT